TCTGGGCGGGCTGCAGCGGGGGCTCGTCCCACAGGCTCTGGTGAGAGGGGAAGCCCGGCGTGGTGGGCGTGGAGGGCGGAGATTGCTTGAAGTACATGGAAGTGCTGGGCATCCCCTCATCTGTGGAGGGTGGCAGCGAGGGCTGGTACGGGGAGAGCCGGGTGTCCTCCATCTTTATGAGGGGCCTCTGGCCGGAGGAGGCAGATTGCATTTGGTAGAGGCAGGAAGGCTTGAGCTCGTAGCTGCCGGAGTAACCCTCCATGAAGGTGCTGAAGCTGGGAAGGGAGGTGGTGGCAGTGGCCGTGATTTCGGTGCTGCCCAGGTCCCTGGTCAGCTTGGCATAGTCGGGGTTCATGATCTCCGAGCTGTACTCCGAGCCATACGCGTAGGTCTGAGCCGCATAATTCGAACCGGGCGGTGAAGGGCTATACTGCGCTTGCACACAGGGCATATCTGCGAGGGCAAAGGGGGACGTTAGCAGCCAGCCCAGCGCGCCGAGGCCGCGGCCCCAGCCCTCGCAAACTGCTTTCCCAGCAGCTTGCCCACGTTTCACGGAGCTCAGTTAAGACACCCGACTCCCACTCTCACCCAGACAAGGGACATATAAATTAGCCTCGAGTCTTTGCCTTTCAGCAATGGTGGCAGTGGCCGTGATTTCGGTGCTGCCCAGGTCCATGGTCAGCTTGGCATAGTCGGGGTTCATGATCTCCGAGCTGTACTCCGAGCCATACGCGTAGGTCTGAGCCGCATAATTCGAACCGGGCGGTGAAGGGCTATACTGCGCTTGCACACAGGGCATATCTGCGAGGGCAAAGGGGGACGTTAGCAGCCAGCCCAGCGCGCCGAGGCCGCGGCCCCAGCCCTCGCAAACTGCTTTCCCAGCAGCTTGCCCACGTTTCACGGAGCTCAGTTAAGACACCCGACTCCCACTCTCACCCAGACAAGGGACATATAAATTAGCCTCGAGTCTTTGCCTTTCAGCAAGAAATACGCATCGGGGGTCAACTAAGCATCAGGTATTCTGGACCCTGCTCCTCACCCAGTTGCAGGAGAAACTCAAATTTACACCAGCATCAGCAGAGAGAAGAATCCGTCTCAAGCTGCCCTACATCTGCTGCTTAATATACATAGGTGTCAATGAGAATTAGATGAGCAGGATGGAAACAGTTTATGGCTCTAAATCTATCTCTGCACGCGTGCAACCGTGCCATAAAATTTTCACGAAGGCTAAACGAGATTATCAGATGCATAATATTAAAAACTGTGTTTATATCAAAAGAAACAGCATCTGCTGTGCACGTCAGAGGAACGACTCAAATCACAGCGTTTGCTCCTTAGGACTTGCAAACATCAATTTTGCTTACTCAACTCTGGGCCTTTGAAGCATAGTTCTGGTCAGCTAATAATTTAAGGTTGCTGTCTAACTGGTAGTTTTAAGGCTTATCTGTGGTGGAACATTCTCCTAAAAAATGTGGCTAGTACAATATATCCTCAAACTTGCAAAAAATGGAAGAGAAAAAGCATGTGGTATTTTTGTTTCCATTTTTATGGGAAAGCAAGGTTGAAGCTGCTAAGATAACTGTTTTTATCCATTAGTCATAAAAGTTAGTGTGGTTCACTGGTAGCTGGGGGGTGGTTGAAGCAGCACAGTGCCTGGTTACAAAGATTCAATTTTTTTCTTTCTTTCTTTTACCTTTCCTGCTGGTCTGCTGTTTCCTTTGCTGCTCTCAGGAAATAATGGACCCAGTTCTGCAGTCCACTTGAGGTTTGCCTGACTAAACACTGGGAGATTCTAGCCCAATATTTGCAGCCCAAACTAAAAGGCGTGCTGTGTTTCGGTTCCACAACAGGGGAATAAAATGCACAGATTGGTATAAATTTTCTTGTAAAGAGAAAAGACAAGGAAATATGGAGAAAATGTATATGAAAATTAAGTGCAGTTCATATCTTCTTAATTGTGGTAATTTATATTCCAAAAGCACTTGAGAAACAATTCATACAAAGAAAAAAAAAAAAAAAGCTGTGTTAAAAATAATGGGGTTTCCCTCAGTATTTCAAGAACTCCTTTCACTTACAATTTCAAAATGTTCACTCGAGCCTTTCAGGCAGGAATTCAAATAATTTGTGTTAAATCAACTTCTAATTCTTTCCTGCCTGCTTTGCAGATAAACATATTTAAACTAAGCACCAGATTTCAATTATCGTACTGTCACAAACCATTCAGATCCGTCTTCTTCTCGAGCAAACACTGAAAACTGGGAAAAAAAGATAGTGCTGTTTTTTGAAATTAAGACCTTCTTACTCATAAATCCAAATACTTGAAGGAAAAAGCAGGACAGCTCTTTCACAAGCCTTGCCTCCCAATGTTATTTATGTATTTTCTTCCCGTTCTCTTTCCTCCTATCAATCAGTTTCTGCCCGTGCCATTCCACGCACGCACACTTCATGGCAATCCCTGTTACTGGCATTTGTTAGCTTAAGGGCCGTCTCCTAAAACGCAGCGAGCGGTGCTTAATCAAATGAAAAGGGAAAGCAATCCCTTCCACCACCTCCACTGAGGGCTGGTGGAGGAGCACAACTGAATGAGCGGACAGATAATGTCACGGGCGGACAGATAATGTCACGGGCGGACGTGTTGACACACGGCCCTGTGAAGGAAAAAGGCTTTTTTTTTTCTGTAGCTCAGAAAACGAGCTCCAGGAGTCCAGGCAAGCAGATCACTAGGCTTTTTTTCCTGCTTTTTTTTTCCTGAGCGTTACAGGGTTATGTCGCTGAATTCTGCGCAAAGTGAGAAAACAGAAGTCTAAAATAAGTCCGACCTGAGGACAGGAAAAATATCCCTAACCTAAAGGTCTGTGGGGCTCCTCCTACCTCGCCCTTTGCCAGTGCGCTCGACTGACTAATTCTAACCCCTACTTTTCCACTTAGGGCACCAATATTAATTACCCTGCAAAGTAAATCACCTGGGATTTTTTTTTTTCTTCTTCTTCAGCCAGCATCTCCCTAGCCTAAAGGTCTGGGGGGCTCCTCCTACCTCGCCCTTTGCCAGTGCGCTCGACTGACTAATTCTAACCCCTACTTTTCCACTTAGGGCACCAATATTAATTACCCTGCAAAGTAAATCACCTGGGATTTTTTTTTTTCTTCTTCTTCACCCAACAATACTAACAAAAAAAAAGGCAAGCAGCCCCACGGGAGGCGCACTGAAGAGCGACCTGTCACCAAAGCCCAGATGAATGGGTAAAAAACCTCCACCGAACCCCAGGGCCGGGAGGCTGCGGGCTGTCAGCTC